ATTAGCATTTTACTGGTTCTCTCTTAGATATTAACTGATAATCAGGGAGTATCTGATACTAAAACACACACACACACACACACACACACACACACACACACCCCTCTAAATAAAGAGATACATAAAAAAAAGAAAATATACACAGAGGAAAAAATGAAATTTGGAAATTAAGATAATGCAAAGGCTAAAATAATTGAAAATCCTATGAATATTATTATAGAGAAAAAAGAAAAAAGAAAACTTCTTATCAATAAAAGTTAAAGGATGCCCGAAAAATAGTAGACAAGAATGAGTTTTTGGAAATTAAAAATGAGAGCAAAATGTTCTTTAACAATGTAATAAAGATATTGGAAAAAACATATGTCTACCAAACTGAGCAAAAATAAAATGAAACTAAAAAAGGAAAACTGGTATGGTTATAATAATATTAACAGTGACATTTTGACTAAAATTTTTTTGATGTAATCATTTTGGGAGAAGTAGTGGGAAAAATGTGTTTAAGTTGATGAATAGAAAAGGTGATAACACAGCTAAATATTTTCTACAGGAAAAATTATTTAGATAATGTGAAAAATTGGAAAAAAAATCAAGAAATAGCAGTATAAGCATGCTATTTAGAAATATGAAAGCAAATGGTTCCTGGGTGGGGCAGTTGGTTAAGCATCTAACTCTTGTTTTTGGCTCAGGTCATGATCTTGGGGTTGTAAAATCAAGCCCCAAGTCAGGTTCCATGCTCGGCACAGAGTCTGCTTGAGATTTCTCTCTCTCCCTCTCCCTCTGCGGCTCCACCCTGCTCATGGTCTTTCTCTAAAATAAACAAATAAATAAATAAATAAATCTTAAAAAAAAAAAAAAAGAAAAAAGAAAAGAAGTAGTAGGAAAAAAGAAATATGAAAGTAAAAACCAGAAGAAATATCTAAGAATATTGAAAGAAGTTGCTTCTGGGTACAGGTTAGTTATACTTTCATGTTTGCCCTAAAATATTATCCCCCCACTCTTCAGCCTGCTTTAAGTGAAATCATGGTTAAGTACAGGGCCTACATTACACATAAGTGTGGAAATGAAAGCATTTTGATGAATATGCAAATCCTCAAAATCTTAAACTTAGATTAGTCTTTGTACACAATGTCTGCTTTTTTCCTAGCTAGCAGACTGCTGCTAGACTTCCAGCCACAACTAAAATTCTTAGATGTTTCTCTACTTGATTTGTGATGTGATGATGAATTTTTAAATATATTTTTATGTATACACTATGAAGATTCTAATATCCTCTGGAAATATCAAAGCTTCTTTATTAGTTTAACCTCTTCCCTTAATGGTCCAGGTATATAAAAATATAAAAATCTGTTATTAGGGACATATTTTCATCTTTATAGGTTATTAAATGTAAGTTTGGTTTTTCATCTGTCTCTCTCAATCTACCACTTTATCTATACACATAAGTATGTGTGTACCAAATGGCATGTCAATCTCAAACCAAATCAGTTTTTCCATGGCCTTCCCTGACTGCTGTTTAAGTTTCCCTCCACAACTCCTAACCTTATTCCAGCCCCTATAATTATTTTCCTACACAATTTTTCTCCATGGCAATTAATATCATTTGCTGTGTATCATGTTATAATGTCTCCCAGATATATCTATATTAGGGAGAGAGTAAGTATGAGTGAATTATGTTTATGGTCATAGCTTTCTAGTAGAAGTATGAGAATTCAACCCTCCAACCCGTCCAGGAAGTTGCCAGTCCCTGATACACCTGGCCTGAAATGACAGCTAAATCATCTCAGAATTAACTGTATCTACAAAGGCACCTTGGCTACCCCAATTACTGCCTAGTAAATTCACCTGAAGGCTCATACTAGACCATCTAACCAGGTGCGAGACCCACTTTTACAATGGCAAGTGAGGTGGGTACTGGTAACTTTCCAATAAATCTTGAAATTAAGAAAAAAGCTCATTCCTTTTAATACGAGAAACCTACACTAATTAACCAAAAGCCAAGCATAATTTGATGAGCTCAAAATACACATTTTTCCTTGGAAAATAGGCCAAACCAATTCAGATTTAGTGACTGAAAGGAAGCCCATGGAATTGTAAGTGGGCTTCCCATTAATCAATTACATAATATATGCTTTATGAATGTATGTTTATGAGAGCATCATTCCAGAACAGCTTGAATTCCCAAAGTAAAAGTAAATAAAAAATGTTTCAGAACCCAATGAATCAATGAGAGGGAGTTAAAGATTTTTTCATCAGAGACGGAAAGGGCACATAGTTTGATTAATCATCTATTCATGAATATATATTGAGCATGTATGATATGCTACATATAGACATGTCTCACCATCTCTACTTTGCAATTCTGATCTAATCTATCACTTAAAACTACAGCTGATCCTTGAACAACATGGTTTTGAAATGCATGGATTTAAAAAAAATAAATACAGTGTTGTAAACTTATTTTCTCTTCTTTATGATTTTCTTAACATTTTCTTTTCTCTAGCTTACTTTTTCGTAAAAATACAGTACGTAATACATACAATATTCAAAATGTGTGTTAACTGTTTCTGTTATTGGTAAGGCTTCTGGTCAACAGTGGGCTATTAGTAACATTTTGGGAGAGTCAAAAATTATACGTGGATTTTCTACTGCAAGGGGGTCGGCGCCCCTAACCCTCATGTTGTTCAAGGGTCAACTGTAATTCCAAAGCCTCCTGATTTCTCTCTCTGCTGCTACTGAAACTCTGCAGTCTATTCTTCAAACAGGAGTCAGAGTCTTTTAGTAAGCATATAAGTGAGAAAAAGCCTTTTATTTTAAATCTGTCCCTCCTCAAGCGTCATTTCTTGCTTCCTTCTTAAACAAATAAAAACCTTCCTTTACTAAATTGTGCATGTTCACTCTCAGCAATATAATTTTCTCACATTCTCTCTTAAATCCACTTCAAACAGGGCGCCTGGGTGGCTCAGTTGGTTAAGCGACTGCCTTCAGCTCAGGTCATGATCCTGGAGTCCCAGGATCGAGTCCTGCATCGGGCTCCCTGCTCAGCAGGGAGTCTGCTTCTCCCTCTGACCCTCCCCCCTCTCATGCTCTATCTCATTCTCTCTCTCAAATAAATAAATAAAATCTTTTAAAAAAAAAATCCACTTCAAACAGACTTCTGCACCCTCCCCTCCAGCCAAACTGCTTCCTGGACCATGTCATTAATGACATTTGCATTGCTTCTGCAATGGTCAGAACTTAGTCCTTATTTTATTTGACCTAATAATACATTTGACACTGTTGGTTATTGTCTCTACTTGAAAGAATTTACATGGCTTTCTGCATTCCATCTGTCCTTGTTTTTCTTCCTCTATCACTGACTGCTCTTTTCAATGTCCTTTATAGGTTCTTCTTCCTCTCACGGACCCCTAAATATTGCAGTGCCCCTGGGTCAGACCTTGGTCCTTTTCCCTGTTCTATCTACATTCACTTCTTTGTGATCCTATCCAGTATTATAGTTGTATATCTGATGACTCCCCAAATTTACATTCCTGTTCCAGACTACATTGCACAGTCAACTGTGCACTCAACTTTTCCACAGGGGTGTATAATTGGCAAATCGATCTTAAAGTTTGAAACAACACTAAGCACATTAGCTTTCAATAAAAATAGAGAGGTTGTGAAAATAAATAAAAAAAAGAACATGTTAATCCTTCAAACTTTACAATGAATTTAAAATAGCAGAACAATGTGTTACATCAAATAATTTTACAAAATGTGTTTCTCATTGATACCGAGCTCAGTGTGTCATTTCCTATTTTAACAGTGTTTGTAAGCAATAAGCAGCAGAAAACAACAGCATGGTGAATGGCATTGTGAAGTTGAATCTATGGTCCCAAACAAAACTTCCAGGAATTTGGAATACGATGGGCAACATGACATTTAGAAAGGATACTGTTTTATTGCCAAAACGTACTGCCTCTTACTTATGTAATAAAATCTGTAGATAAGGGTTTAATTTTTTTTTTTAATTTAAGCAGAGACTTTTGTGCATACGACCATTGTTACCAAGGTAACCTTCTCTGACGCCATCTGTCAGGATTCCTCAGGAAAGACACCTGCATATTTTTTGTTCAAGTCACTTAACTTTTCCTCGCCTTCTGATCACTTATCTGATTGAAATACTTCTAATTTTTTTAATCAGTTTTGCTTTCCAATCTTATTTCTATTTTTCTAGTGTTTTTTACTCCTGCAAGTATAGAATGTAATATTAGCTACACTTAAACTAGTTTCCCTCAGGAAAGGAATCCAAGAGATCCCAGTGGTGTAAAATTCAGATATTAATAAATTGAAACTTGAGATTTCAATACATTTTTGCTGGACTCACATAATTAATATTGGTATACAAAAATAATAAAGCTTTTTGTATTTCATAAATGCAGTTTCTCAGCAGAAGTTTAGAGGGCTAATGAATTTTCCTTTCCATAGCTTCTTGGTGATTTTTGTCTTTTAACATTTGTGTTGTGGAATAGATATTAAGACAGCTAACTCCAAATTATATTTTTCTGCTAGAACTTTAAATTCACAATGACTCCCTGATTTCTGGCATGTAAGTATATTTAAAAGAGCTAATCTTATTACATTTTTAATGACATTTGTGTAATTGATATGACAGTATTATTTCTCTTATTCATACACTGATACTTCTTTATATTACAACAATATAAACATAATTCAGATACACTTCAATTCAAAAAACATAAAAGTATACAATACCTTGAAATATAATCCATATATTTCTTAGCTGTTAGCAAATGGTAGATTAAAAAGCATAAATTTTGTTTTTATTAATTTTTTTTTTACAAAAAACAAAGAGTCTCTTGCATGTCCTGTCCTACCTGCACATACCAGGTTATTTCAGGTTCTGGAGAGTAAATATAAGATTGCCATTTATTCACAGATAGCAATATGATGATATAGACAGAGCAGGCAGAGGTTTACCTGTATAACCAGAAGCACAGAGGCAGTTGTCTCCACCAGTTTTGCTGACACAATCTTCTCCATCTAGACAAGGTGGGATTTCACATTCACTCATATCCAACTCACACAAAGGTCCATGGTACCCTGGTTCACAATTACACACAAATCAAGAGAAAAGTAGGAAAATGAGAATTCACATGTTAACAAAAAACATTTCATTATATACATGATTCATATGTATATATTAAAATTTTAGCCTTTTAACTTAATTTAGATAAATGGCAATATTTTCTCTTCATTTTTTTTCCCTTGGAGAAAATATAATTCACCTTTGTTGGTTCACAGCCTCAAGAGTTCCCCAGGTGAAATTTGAAACTGGTCCCCACTGATGCAAGGCAAGGAGAGCCAGAAGAAAGAGACAAGCCACTCCAAATTGGTGGGGGACAGTTTTAATAAGCAAAGGAACTTGCATTCCAGGCTTGTGTTGGACACCCGCAAGACAAGTAGATCTTCACACCACTCCCCAAATCTTAAAAGTTTATATAAAGGCATTAATGAGGTTGTCATGTATACAGTCCAGATGACACCAATAATGCATTACTCTCTTAAGACTCTGTCACTGAAGTGGTTCCTAATTGGAAATAGTGGACAGAACATACATTTCAAGGACAAGAGAGAGAGTGAGGTGCCTCCTAACTGCCAGGATCCAGTTTGCAGATCAACACGAGGTCATGTCCTCTCAATGACTTCTTTAACGACCTTCTAGATATTTTTCCCCTTGACTGTTCTTTTTGTGAGAATTTTTTTAAATGAATGTATTTGAATAAATAATTAATATAACTTTGATAACTACTATTGAGCTTAATTCTGTACTGTATATTTTATTATAATATAAATATAAATCTTTAACTATCTCCTATGTTAAATATTGAAGATTACCCTGTCCATGGATTGAATGATGTTTCTGATATGGAATCCCTTCTGGTTAAATTAAAAAGATCATTTTAGCAAAAACAATCTTATTACTGCTTAATTATATTGACAGATGTTGGAGAAATTGGATGTAATTCAATGATTAGATGTTAGGTTCAAAGTATCATGCACTTAATAGAGGGATTGACTCCCAAGAGCCTTGCCTTTGAGAATGGTTTCCAGAAATTTCAACTGAACTTCCTTTCAATATCCAACTCTCCCCTCTTTATCTTAAACATCAACCTCTGATGAATCTGAGCTACTGAGTTCAGATATGTCCTCTGGACTTTAACTTGGAAATGTTTCTTGCTCCTATGTGGATTTCTTTTTATTGATTCAGATCCTGTCTCAAAGGGCCCTTGATTCTTTCCTTTATAGTCTATGCTATAACAACAATCTATATAACTATGTGTGGCAGAATTACCCTGAATTTATTTTTAGTCTATTCCTCGATATTGTGCTGGACATGTTCTTATCTCAGCATCTAGTCAGTCTGTATCTATTTTCCAGAAGATAGAAGACCAATTCTCCTGAGATGGAATTGTGACTAGTTTTAGTTATATATATGTAAAATAACATGAGTAAAATAACAACTAAATAATCAATGACAAGCCAATAAATAATGCTAAGAAGAGAAAGCAATAATTTAATCTTTGTTTCTGCATTCATAGAAAAATATTAATGAAAACATAAAACTAATTTCCATAGATAAAATTAAATTGAGAGAAAATGCACCTAGAAAAACAAGTTCTAAATAGTTTTTTTTCTTTCTCCTTTTGTAGAAGTCTAAATAAAACTGCTTTACCAGGTTTTCTTGTAATGCTTTTGAAACAGATTTTTATTCTGATTTTTTGAGGGAATTCTTTCTAATTAACTATAGTTTCAACTTAACTGTAATTAGAAAAACATAACCACCAGAAATCTAACATGCCCATGCTCCTCTTTTACTCATGTACCACATATTAACTGATTGAATGCCAGATGTTAGTCCTGTACCCAGATCCAAGTGTAAATAAGGCTTCGGCTTATTTTTAAAATTCTCATAAAGAAGTTAGGGACATTCATATGTAAACATTACAGTAAATATATGCCAATTGAGAAAGGTGTGAAGTCCTACAGAAACAGAGCTGAATGTTAGAGAAGGTGACAGGAAAGGTTTTACTGGTTAGTGAATAAAGAGTGGGATTTTTGTATCAGTTGGACAGAAGGCATTAAAATTCCACGTGCAATGTCATGCTGGTGTAAAAGAGAACTGTATTTCTCAAGAGCATTCCATGTGACTAGGATCTTGACCAAAATCACTTTTTAGGGTGATCCAATTACTGATTCTTGAATTTGTGTTCAAATAGCAAAAATTTTCTCCATCTTCACTCTCTCACTAGAATCTTCCAATATAGTCCAGATAATGTAATGAATCTTTTAAATGCCTCACTAAAATCAAGATATGTTTGCTAATGATACTCTCATTGATTACTATTGTGTATTCCCAGTGAATCGATGATTCCGAGGGATCACAGGGTAGGTGGGAGTTGGACAGTGTTTTCAGTTGTAGCACTAAAAGGTGTATGCAAGAAATAATTTTTTCATACTAATAGATTACATTACTACACAATATAACAGATAATGACTCTGATCTCAATTTACACATCTGTTACATGTCCTTAGGACAGTTCTATCATACTTCCAGAAATTACAAAATCTATTCTTTACTCTGTAAGGCTGAATATTAGAAATTATTTTGGGACATCTTTCCTCTCAATGATAAATTTATAATAATGATCATTGATTTTTCTCAATCTTTTATAAACAGAAATTTATTCATTAAATTTACAGAATTCTCTGTGTGTGTGTGTGCATGTGTGTGTGTCTTTCCCCTCTTTCTCTCTGTTTGAAAACCAGGAAATATCCATATCCCTTGCCTTTTGCCACCCAGATTTTGTTTTCTGTATTTACAAAAACCTTGAATCTCTGTGTCTAGTCTTTTCCAGGAGACTTAAAATATATATGTACTCTCTCCCTTCCTTCCCCCCACCTCCTTTTCTCTCTTCCCTGCCCTTTCCCCCCACAGCTCCTCTTCTTCTCAAATAGGAGAGGTAGGCAAGGACAGCACATTCTCAACTTGTTCTCTCTGTACCTACCCTGGCCCTTCAAACCATTAAAAAATCAAAGTGCATAAGGCATGTCTGAAAGGAACCTCACCAGATTCTTCCTCCTACTGGCCTCCAGCTAAGACAATCTCTTCAGCTTTGGTGTATTTTCCCTTCCATTATTAGCTGCTGAGGGCCCCATCCCTACATTATGCGGACCATGTCTACCTAGGTTATGGGGAAAAAGTAAAAGTGAACCTTGATTTTTATTAATGTCTTAAGTGACTCAGTTAATCTTATAGTAATATTGATTTGTATGTTAAAAGTCTCTAAAACATTTCTTCTCTTGATGAAACCCTATGTTAACAACTTTTAAAACACAATTATACATATATTAAAAATATCTTGTTTTGAAGCAACAATTAAGACCATGAAATTTGTAATATATATATATATATATATATATATATTTAAAGATTTTACTTATTTATTTGACAGAGAAAGACACAGCGAGAGAGGAAACACAAGCAGGGGATGTGGGAGAGGGAGAAGCAGGCTTCCCGCAGAGCAGGGAGCCCAATGAGGGGCTTGATCCCAGGACCCTGGGATCATGACCTGACCTGAAGGCAGACGCTTAAAGACTGAGTCACCCAGGCGTCCCTGTAATATATTTTGATAAAATGGAAATTTCTAATTTAAATTCAAAGCTTTATTTCAAAAGTTTTAGTGGAATTAAATAGTTTGTCAAGGTATTGAACATTTTTTGTTCAAATTTCCTATAATTTGATAGTGACCTAAAATTATCCAGGTAGGTTTTCAAGATACTTTTCCAAAACCAAAATACATTTTAACAGGTGACTTCTAAAGAAAATTCAGTACATTGAAAAAAAGTAGAGGTAAAGAAGAGTAACTTTGTTTTACATAAAGTGATATTGCCATAATGAAAGGGGAGGGAAAAATGCAAGATAATCACAGGGACTTGTAGCTCCAAAATGAGGCCCTGCTTTACATTATTCTTAAAATTATTCTTTTATCTTCTTCTTATCTCATTTCAGATGAGAAAGAAGTTAATTAGTAGAGAAATTGTTTTTATGCTTCTAGGAAGCTGAGTTATTTTAAAATATACCATTATATTGATTAAATCATATTATAAGATCCAATATATAAATCTTTAATGAGAGTTTTAATTTAATTTAATCTTTTATGAGAGTTTTAATTTTAAAATGCACTTGCAGTATTAAGATTTCATATATATTTCTTCCAAAAGATCATTTTATAAAAACCTAGAGTCCAAAACACAAAAATAAAACAACAAACTGCTGCAGGAGAAACTTTATGATTAGAACATGTTAGCCTATGTTACAGCTATTCAAATTTTGAGATAATTTATAATACATTTTAAAGTAATTTCTACCTCTTTCTTGTAATTCTATACTGCATTCCTGAACCATAGTTCTTTATAATAATGACATTTCTTAATCAAAAAGTGAACAATCTATTTTTATTAGTGACATGGGTAAGGATTTTCACACTAAAATTTTATGAAAAAGTTAAAGTTCAATAAACCCTTTAGATAATATTTAAAAATTTTAATCAGTTATAAGATATGTAAAACTCACCATCTGTTCTTTTATAATTTTAATGGATAAAAGCATATTTAAGTATACAAACATACATAATGAAAAGTAAATACAATACTTGTAAAATTTGCACATAAAAAAACTACCAAATTTAATATTAATCTAAGAGAATATTGAACATGCTATGTTCATACATCTTTAAGATGGTGTACTTTAAGGTGCTATATATTCTGTGTATCTCAACCAAAAAGAAGAAGAAAAAGTAAACCAACTTTTTTCTACCCAATATATTTGCTCCACAGAGTGATTATCTTTAAAATAGTCTTTATATGTCATTATTATAATTTTACTACACATGGGTGTGGAAACAATGGGGTTAGGGAAAAGTGTTCAGTAGAATATAAATCATTTGGATTAATAACTGGTTTCTAGGCTAACAATTTACAGAAGAATGTACAGATTTTTGTCTCTTAGTTAAATGTACATTAACCAGTCATTTTCGACT